TGACGTCGTCTTCAGTTGTATTGGAATGTTATTTACAAAAAGACTCCTAACTTAGAATAAAGAAAGGGACTTTCAAGGATGGAATTTTTTAAGGTTGTTGACGTTCCAAACTCTAGGCACCCTGTTGCCCTCGGCATCCTGGAGAATGTATGCCCCGGGGTGCGGGACCTCGGTTACAATGTAAGGGCCTTCCCAGTTTGGTGCTAGTTTGCCATATCGGGTCTCGAACCCTGTGAGCCCAGCCTTTCTGAGGACGAGGTCACCGACTCTGAAGTTTCGAGGTCGAACTCGTTTATTGTAAAGGTTGGCTATTCTTTGTTTGTATGCGAGAGTCCAAAGTCGGGATTGCTCTCGAACTTCGTCTAGGAGATCAAGGATTTCCCTTAGTAGGCGCTCGTTTTGAGCTAGTTCAAAGTGGCTGATTCTTAGGCTTGGGACACCAATTTCGACAGGAATGACTGCCTCGGTGCCGAAGGCTAAGTGGTAGGGCATTTCGCCTATTTGCAGGGGACTAACTTTAGGATTTACTTAAAGGGTAGTCTGTAACTATAAATAAAGTAATATAAAAGAGAATCAAAGTGAGGGACATACCTGTGGCAGTTCGGCTTGTTGTCCGGTAAGCCCACAAGACGTTGTTGAGTTCATCTACCCACTTTGTTTTCAGCTGATCTAATCTCGGCTTGATTCCTTCCAAGATAGCTTTGTTGACTGATTCAACCATTCCGTTGGCCTCGGGATGATAGACGGAGGTGAACACCAACTTAATCCCGTAGCTGGAGCAGAAGTCCTTGAAGGAGGTACAATTGAATTGGGGGCCGTTATCAGCGATGATCTGGTTTGGTATCCCATGTCTGCAGATGACCGAGGTGAAGAGGAAATCCTCAATTCTTCTCGAAGTCAGACAAGAGAGAGGTTTGGCTTCTACCCATTTGGTGAAGTAATCAACGGCGACCACTAAATGCGTTGCTCCCCCTACTGCTTTGACGAAGGGGCCCAGAAGGTCTATTCCCCATTGAGCAAAGAGCCATGGTGCAGTCAGGCTGGTGAGTTCTTCGGCTGGCTGATGGGTGAGATGGGCGAAGAACTGGCATTTCTGGCACCTCTGCACGAACTTCTTTGCGTCTTCTTGCATGTTGGGCCAATAGTACCCTTGCCGGAGTACCTTATGTGCCAGAGTTCGGGCTCCCACGTGATTACCGCATACCCCCTCGTGTACTTCTCTTAGTGCATACTCTGCTTCATATGGTGTCAGGCATCTGAGGAGTGGTAATGAGTAGGATCTCTTGTACAGAATGTCGCAAACTAGGGTATACCGAGAGGCTTTTCTTCGTAACTTCATCTCTTCCTGTTTGTCCTCCGGGACGGTGCCATTGAGGAGGTACTCCCGGATGGGGTCTGTCCAACTCGGAGCATCTAGGTCAGTGCTAATCTCCATTACCCCCGTCGTCTGAAAGCTGGGTTCATTCAGTATCTCGATGTACACAAACTTTGCTTCCCCAAAGTTCTCAGATGTCAATTTCGACAAGGAATCTGCATGCTCATTTTCTGCTCTCGAAATTTTGGTAAGCTGGAATTTCTCGAAACGGTTTTTCAGCTCGGAGACTGCGACCACATATTTCGCCATGATGGGATCAATGACTTCGCACATAGAATTGATTTGGTTAACTACCAGCTGTGAGTCACTGTAAATCTGCAGGCGTTTGACTTTGAGCTCGACCGCCAGATGTAGTCCTAGGAGGAGGGCTTCATACTCGGCCACGTTGTTTGTGGCCTGGAAGTTAAACTTCAAAGCGTGTTCACTCCGGAAGCCGTCAGGTCCAGTTAACACTGCTCCAGCTCCTGAACCCTTGTTATTAGATGATCCATCGACATACAGGGTCCATGTTTCTACTTCAGAATTTGGCTTCACCTGATTAGAAGTGCATTCGACCACGAAATTTGCCAAGGTTTGAGCTCGGATTGTCGACCTCTGCTGGAATGCTATCTGAAACTCTCCCAGTTCTACTGCCCATTTGATGAGCCTCCCGGAGCATTCTGGTTTCTGCAAAATTTGTCTTAGAGGCTGATCAGTCATCACAATAATAGGATGGGATTGGAAATATGGCCTCAACTTCCTTGCAGTAACAACAACTGTTAGGGCTGCCTTCTCTGCTATCGAGTACCTCTGCTCAGCCCCCTGCAACACCTTACTGGCGTAGTATACTGGTTG